TATATGAAAAATAAAAGGATGTCTCTTAAAATGATCAGACTGCTATGTAACAGCACTAAAACTGCAAACCAAACCATTAAGCAAACAAAACCATTAAATATCATATAATGACCATATTAATATCTGCTTCTATACAAAAATGAGCTCCCCAGTAGAAAATACTGGAAACTAAAATATAGTGCCTTTCACACAAATAAGTCATTTTATTCTTTATGGAAATAACAACTAATTTTATACACTAAATAGGACCTCTATGATATGGTATGACCATTGTCATTGACGAGAATGTTTACAAAAATTTGCAAAATATTATATATAAATACATCTCCAGAATTTGTGAAGATATTCTTAAAAAATTTTTTTTGATAAGTAAGTATCTCTAGGTAATAATTTAAAAATGCTTGCCTCTAAGAATTTATTTTTTGATTGACCCATTTCAAAGCGCATCAACGCATGATTAAGAGAACAAGTGGCCTCCTTACTAAAAGTTGTCAGGCGCTGACAAGTCACACGTACTCCATATGACAACAGTTGACGGTGATGTTACTTTAAGGAAGACAAACATTAAGAAAGTTCAAGTGACATTTCGGTTAAATGCATAAAATATGTTTGGTTGTTTTTTGCAAAATATCTTGAGATTAGGTTAGATAAGATATTTGTAGATATTTTACTGAAAGTTATGTTAACACATCAACATAGGGCACATTCATTGTATTAAGAACAGTTTTTAGAAACCGCAGTATATCAGACTGGTAACATATGTGAAAACTGTTGTGAAAAGTTCAATAATTTTTCTCTTTATTGATTCCGCAAATTGAAATTGTTACCAATTGATGTCGGTTATAGGTCTGCAGCCATACGTATATCAATGGAGAAAAACTTGAATAATATACTTAGGCTTCGTAGTGCATTACAAGTGATATATCCTATTCTTAAGTAAACTTTTACAACTCAAATTCCATATCATAAGTTTTAGATTGTAAGATTAACTATAGCTTCAATAATAACTAGTTAAATTTTCATAAGATCATAGATCAAAGTGAAAGAGATAAACTGAATATCACAGATCATTCTTCAATCTCTCATAGTAACAGAGTACAGTGCTATCAACTTACATAAACAATATTGTGGTGCCTTCAACGTACGGGTTTCAAATTATGAATTTCAGATACCTTTTATATAGAATATCATAATAAATTATAATATATAATAATTAATATTAACTTTTTCCCCTTGAAGATTCTGAAG